AGGGAAGAGCTTTGAGCTAGTGGAGCTTGAAACAGTTTCCTTCGATCGGTAAACAACTTTTGCCGAACAACAGTGAAGGTTCCAAGTTTTTTGCGGGTAGAAATAAAAATTGTCACAGTCACCTGAAAAGCAATGTTAGGCATGTCACTCTGACCCGGTGTAGTCAATCGAACGTTTGGCGGTATCGTTTGGCGGTATCAAAGTCCGTTCAACACGTGCATGCACATTAGCCCTCGGGTGCAGTCAAAAGAGCTTCCAAGACACGTTCTTATCTACACCATTTTCCGACAAGTAGTCACCATGCTAACCAAAATTCTGGTATATCTTGAACTTATCATCGGGATAACAGTGAGTTTTCATATTTCCCTTCTTTTTAATATAGTTTAAGTTAAACTGCGGTACCTGCACGTTTTCAGACGGATAAAATTCAGTAGGTCACTATGCGTCGCATTCCTTAGCCCACTGAACCATATCCATGCATGCATACATGACGTACGGTCAGGTTTCCAAACATAACGTTATTGTATCTTGCGCTCAAAACACTGGGCCAGGCCAGTGCAAGGTTTTGAGTTCCGAAACGAAAGAGTAATGCTGAATTCAACTGATCAGACGGTCGCGAAAGGGATTAGCGATGCATGCATATCACCGATGTCAGACCACCCGTAACACACTGACATGCCTTTAAGTGGCTTTGTTGTCAAACATATTGTAGATTGATATATTTTCACACCGGCATTTCACCTAAAATAATTACCCTTTAATAGGTGTAAAATAAGAGTCTTGGCGAAAATAAATCGGAACGTGTTGTTGGTCGATACACTCACAAAGGGTTTCAAATCAACGTACCGGTATTGTCAACACTTGGCTCTTTGGCCACGCATATCTTTTGACGCTCTAAGTACATTTGAACTGCAGGCCAATACTATTAACATATATATCGTCTGTTGGATGATTCATGTCAATAGACTTAATAAACACTGTCTAAATTGACACGTCAAGTCATTATTAAGTGATCAGCGATTAACCGTCCCATATTTTCCCACGGCACTTCAAACCTCACAATACTCGCTCGTGCGTGCACGTGTCGCTTTAAATATCCTCATTAGACCATGCTAGCTAGTAGTACGGCAAAGACTGGGACAATGTTCAACTAATAGGCATCATATAATTGCGTGTTAATCAAACTGATCGTTTAAAATTACAACTTCCAACTGTTTTCGACTTGCAGAAGATTTATGTTAGTAATAAGAGCTATCTTGTGACCTTACTATTGTTCATCCGAGTTGTATTGCTCACTGATCTGTATATACTGAAGAGAATGAAAAGATAAATATTACCACAGGTGATTTTTGATGCACTGAAAGCAAACAAAACACAACAAAACAACAGTTGGACACAGGCCCATACAAAGTCATGGTGCTTTCCTCGCTTGCCTCTCGATACTGGCCGCGTGATTCCAAAAGGACTGCGCATGCTGTTTTCCGCAGTATTCTTGCGAAAACTGAAAATAATTAAATTAAAGTTGACACCTCAGTTACGTACGACGAGCTTAAGAACATTGCAAAGCTAGCACGACTTCATGCGGTTGACTTGATTCGTGTGGCCGTTAGACATAATATCTTTAATCTCAGGTCAAGATGTCCAAATATTTTTGTTAATGTTTGCACGTAAGCTAAAAGACGAGACTCAAAGTGCGTGAATGCAGTACGGTTTGAATTTTATGCAATTTTTTCCCATCACCACCATGTCGTCTTTGCCTCTCAAGGTATTTGCTACAGGCTATATTGTTTGTTTCTTTGCTGAGAAGCGAAATTTGAAACCTTGGAATGTAAATATATCGTGTTGACTCCAAAAGTGCTTACTCAGCATATTAATTGTTAATTGTTTATAGAGGTCGTATATGCCATTAAGCCGCTGAATCCATAGCACCACATGTTCGGTTTTTAATTCTTTCGAAGTCAGAATGACTAGAATATATCCTTGCAAATTTTTATCGAAAACGGATATTGAAAAGACAGAAGGGAGAATTTTGTATACCGTCCACTCGGGTTTCAAGGCGACTAAACTTTGCCCTGGTATCCGAACCAGCCTATATCAGAAGCTTTTATGGTAAAAACCTCTTGAAAACGTCAATCAATTTTATACCTGAATTTTGAAAAGAATTTTCTAGACTGTTCTAGAATGCTAAGCTTTGGCGACATAAGCTAGTCGGTGACGAAACTTTACTAGCGGTCACCTCGTTTCCACACCTGTTGATTTTCATGCAGCAATAAGATATCGAAAGTGAAACAAGCTCAAAATCTGCGACATTTCCCAATGATGGTGTTGGCGTGTTTCCTAGGACTGACCATAATAATAAGAGTAACGGTAAGTTAACAACTCAACATTCTGCTGACATTTCAAATCTCGGCGAGCAGTCAGAAACCCGAGTAATCAGTTATATTTTCCATATTTCCACTCAGCAGTCTATGGACAGAAAAAAGAAATAGTGATACGTAAGATGCTTCTGAATCCCACACGCTTCTTGTATTGTTTTTTAGTCCAACTTAGTTAGTTCTCTGCCATTTCAAAGCTACGGTTTGTCGCAGAAGTACGCATTTCAGTGCAAAACCACGTGGAATATCGAAACTGGATGCAAGAGGGCGCGGTTTTTGAACTGTCCAAGTTCGACGGTTTAGTATCTCGATGGAGCCGGCTTTCTTTCTCATCTACATTAAGGAAATGAAAATTGAAAAATTGTTTTCAAATTTTCTCATATTTACCGGTTACATGTATGAATAAGTGTGACGCTTAGGCTTTCAGCTGACAGTTACGTGACGCGGCGAAAATGCTTTCATGGGCAAAATTTCGTACTCACCGTTGTGCCGCGCCCGGGCCGCTGTGATTGATCGAAGCGAAGTGTTGCCAAAGTTAGGAGCCGTTCACAACTCTTCCTCAGGACAAAGCTGCCGAAAACTGCCAGCCTGTGTTTTAAATGGACATATCTGAAAGGTAAATTTAACAGGCCTGATCGATTGAGAGCGGAAAGCGGCGGCGCCAGTATGTTTTGATTCGTCGATTCAACTGTCATGCGACCATCAGCTGTTTAGAGTCAAAAACTCTCTATCGGAACGCTTTGAAACTCGTTCACCCAGCTTAGATAACTTAAAGGAAGCGTGAGAAATTAACTGGGAATGTTTTGCTTGTTAATACTGCTTTATATGCTATTATAATAAGGTAGCGTGATCAACAACTATATCATAATCATCCATGGTAAGTTTGACCTTTACATGTAAATCATGCAAGGAATGCTCACTTTTGAAAACAAACCTGCATGTTATGATAGAGATTCAATTCCTTTTTTTTTAATTTTAAGATCTATAATGCCTCTGGACCGCAATTTGAAACGAAAACCATGTGGATTTTTATTCTTTTCTTGAGTACAAAAATCAATCAATGAAAAGCTTTAAGTTTACAATTAAGAATTCTAATGCACCAGCAAACAAATTCACAACAAATTATTCACTTATGGGGACCGAACTTCCTGCACGCATATTGATAACATTCCAAAGGTCAATGTTCGACCCAAAGCAAAGAATTAGCCAAAGTTGTAAGCCTGAATTTCTCATAATTCGATCACAATTTGTCCTTGCCCAGCGAACCAGAGGCTGTTACGAAAGGGAATTATTTTTCTATATAAAAAAAA